TCTTTTTTTGATGCGAATGTTCCTCTGAGAGCTTTATTAACCCGAATTTGTCTTGGAGCACGCACTACTATTCGCAGACCGTCCGAACGGCGCGCCCAGCTGATTGTCATGCTGGCCGTCATCGTTCGCAAAAGGATATGCATTCCTGCCCGCGTTCGTCGGCCAAAGAGTGGATTCGTCCTACATAAAAACTCTAATAGACTAATATTGAAGCTTCGCCATAAGAATAGACTCTTTCATTGACTTTTACCATTTCCACAGACAAAGTGACTCGGCAAGGCGACAGTATCACGGAAGCTTTCACCACACTACTTCCAACGGATGATGAAGTTACTAACTGGGACAAGAATGACCTTTGTATTGATGAACAATCCTAATAATTTCTTTTTCCAACGACATTACTATTTCTTTAAGAAGCGCCAAGAAAGCGCAGATGGTGCTAAAAGTACGAGGAGAAAAAAAGGATTGAGCTACTCATAGATCAGACGAAGAATCCATAAAATCACCGTCACGAAAAGCAATAATGACGCAGAGAAACGAATGGAAAAAGTTCTGGAGTGTGAACAATTTGAAAAGACGAGTTATCTAAGTATTCAAATACATAAGTGCGTTAATTGATCGGAAGGAATCCACTTAGCAGCCTTCGTGTACACAGCTCTACAAGAAAAAAACTAAAGGCTTGATTGGCTAATTTCGGTGAAAAAAATGGAGGTTTTTAGCATTTGCGTATAAATGCAAGTTAGCGCTTCGAATTTAGTAATGAACTTGCTACAGTATGGCATTAACAAAGCATACCAAATCCTTTTCTTCCAATTTCAACCAGCAGCCACATAAACTCGATTGAATGCATACCCTCCTCTGTTATCGAAATCATCAGCTCTCGTAGGGCTTCAGGACTTTCCATGCACGCGACTATAACTGGAAAGCGGAATTTTCTCAAAATTCTTTCAGTTGAGATAAACATTTTGAAAATGCTTTTGAATAAGTGAACACTGACTTCGTGACACCGCCTTGATATTGTGAAGAGTTTTTTGCAAAGTATCCTTGCTAAAGTCTCCTAACTGCCGACGATATACTATCGTCATATTGTAGTTTGATTTATCGACGGTCTGAAAAGACAGCAGTAGATGTTCATCTGTTAAAGGATAAATATGAGACCACTTCGATGACAACTTGAAACAACTATCATTTTTATAGGAAAGGATTGATTAAAGAAACGTTGAAGGAAATTATAAGAACCTTTCTGTAAGGTCCTGCAATCATTAATCAAGGATGCATAAAAAATCTTTTTTATTGGGCATGATTGCAAATTTTGGCCAAAAAAAGTCAATTTTTGACATTCACGGGCTGCATGTAAAAGTTTTGAAAGTGAACAGAAATTCGTAGTCGATCACAAATTCTTCAATTTCTGATGATTTTTCGAATCGTAGCGATTCGTATCAACAAATACTGATCTATACTGATTTCAGGTTTTGAAGTTTGAAGTTTTGAAGGCTTTGATGATAATAATAATAATGAAAATAAAAACGACCTTCTATAAATTACGTGAAATTAAATATCTGAAGTGGAATAAATTGAATATGGAAAACAAGATAGTGAGCGACAGATTGTTGATTGTTCTGAGAAATACTAGAAAATTCCAAATGCGAAAATTTCTATTAGCAATTTCACATATTTTGAGTCAGTCAGTTAACTTGTTTAAAAAATAAGAACTGACGTGAACTATCCAATATTGTTGAGTCACGTGCAAAACTATGAGATCGAGTGGCATCAAATCCGCTCTCACGCGCTGTCGGAAAGGGAGAAATGGTGGTACTGTTTCGCGTATTCAAAATTCATTTATGAAAATGGTAACATCATTGTTATTATTTATTTACTTTCATAATTCCTAGCTCAATAAGAAAATAAGGAGTTATTGGGTATATATGCTACATCATACCACCGCCAAAAGGCGACTGAATGAAAATAATTCTTACTGATGTAGAATAAACGTGTACACACATCAAGTTCGTTGACGATCGAGCTGCAGCGTGCTATTTCTTCGCTTCTAGTTATATAATAAATCAACGCTATTTCAGTCCATTCGTACCGCTTGAACAACCTTGTTAACGTATTAGCTTGTCTGAAACTCAGATTATTCGTTTTCATGCCTAAAAGTAGCAAATTATTATCGATCAAAAATAACAAATGGTTTGGCGTGGATTACTATATACGTAAGGGGTGTATCCTCTTGCAAAGGATTAGCTGAATCAGAGTAATGAATCAGAACGTCTAGCTGTGGATAAGTGCCATAACAGACCTTATAAAAGGCTCATGATATGTTATCAGATTATATAACAAATTATTAGTTCGAGGACTATGCATTGAAATGCTTTTTTTTTGCTATCTTTTCCTCCACGGATCTTGCCCACTGAACAATCTTTAGCCGTTCACTCACCCAACTACATGACCCAGGTGACTGACGGCGGATTAGATGCTGACTAAAAGACACTATGCTTCACCAAGAGACGAGCAAATCTGGAAGATATAGGAGATTCCCGTTTCTGCTGTCTCCTAGTTGAGACATATTCTTCATGTTCACCTAGACATGTCTAGGCTGGGATGCGCATGTTTTAACGGTTACAATATGACTAAGTTCAGCCTGAAACCCACAGTAAACGTGGCTGGGAGGTAATCCGAACGAACTGTAGTGATGATTGTAACTACAGCCTACAATCATATGAATCTCAGATCTCCATCAAAAATCTGATGCTATAGTTCAAAAGAAAGATACGGTTCAATTCGCTTCGTTGGAACAAGTGAAAAATCTACCTCTTTCGTTGGAAAAGAAATATGAAAGTGTTAGTACTTGTTCGCTAGTGCACTGTGCGGCCGTTTTTTCTGAAGACCTTTTCTGGAGCGTTGTAATATTCAAGATAAATATATTTTTTTACATCGGCTGCGCAATTCAACTATTACTCCTTTGAAAACACTGAAAGCGCATAATTGTGTAGAAACAATTTTTAATATCAGATTACCCTGGAGTCTCTTTGGGAGCGGAGAAGTAATTTCTGATTGATTAACAAAAATTGCACTACCCTATGGCCCTCGGAAGGTCCATTCAATCGACAGCCGTGTTGGAAAGCTTGTAGCATGTGCCCTGGCCCAGCCCTCGCCCTTCGCCACCATTTCGTATGATAGCCAAAATACTTACGCCCACCTATGTGATTTCACTCTTATTTTTCTTGCTAAATTGCAAAAAGTGGTATTTTCGGAAAATAAGCACTTATCGAATGATAAGTAGTAGTCTTAAGAGAGAGAGAGAGAGCGAGAGAGCACTGTCTTGCTGGAAAAAGGCGTGTGTGAGATACAAATGTTTCCCTGTCGTTGAAGCGTTATGAGAAAGAATTTTGAAAAATGGCCATGTAGGGGACTAGCCAGAGATTCAAGCTATCGAATAAATTCTAACACTCTTATAAAAAATCTTGTACAGCAAAAGAGTAGTTTCTTCATTTGTTTCCTTCTAATGGAGAGAAAGATACATAGTCAGTAGATTGGATGAAATGAGAAGTCGACTTCTATTAGACGCTGTTTGCAACACCGGATAAAGATTGTTCCATGGAACAAGTGGCAATGCGAGAGTTCTCCGTGCTCGCATCCTTGTTAACATGAGATGGCCATGTACATCGATTCCTCTGGGCAACTAATTATCTGAACCAGAGGATTAAACCACTGAAGGCGTGCATTTGCCTTGTCGACTACTGGTGAGTGACTCCATATTGTGGTTGCCTCTTTCTCTACACTTGATGTGGACATCTCCTAGTGGTTAATACCACGTTAAAATTCCTAAAATATGCGAGTATCATATCGAAGGTTCTCCTAGCTTATGTCTCTGCGCCTCAGAAATTTACACTAGATCGCATATCCCTTGATTACAGATCCTATTTTTCCCAGTAGGAACTATCTCTCAATCTCGTCATTCATCGAATAACTCAGTGTCCTCTTGTTAGCCATATCAGCATAAAACGAGTGGTTAGGCAAGATGATAGCACTTGGTCAAAATTATTGAGTAGCACCCTCCACAGCAGAGTGCAATATTAGAATGGAGGAAGATAATAGGAGAATTGATAATCGGGAATTGCACTATTTATGCTCTGCAGGTAATATTGTTCTTACAACATAGAGCATTAGCCAGCAGAATCAATGTGATACGACCTCCTCAATACATGTAAAATACTGATGTTCGAATTTAATCAGAAAACAATATTGACAAGAACTGATTTGTTACATATGGTTCATTGACGCCCAACCGATCAATCAGCTAGGATTTAGAATCTAGCTATGTTTATTTCTGCATGAGAGTTAATATGGCACGCGATAACCCCAAAGTTGCGCATCACGAAGAGAGTGGCTTGGGAGATTTCAAGAGCACTGAATATACTTCAGCAAATGGCGCAACATTTGCTTGGATCAACTCACTCTCCTTGATAAATGTGATTGTGCCCTAGTCTCCTATTCTACGGCTTTAGGAATAATCAAGTTACGCACTAATGAGCGAAATAAACATGGAAGAAGAAGCCCTAACACAATAGCAGATAGTACACGCGAAAAGACCGAGGGAATTCGTGAATAATGGATAAGAGAATACGAATCGCACACAGGAAGTGTTGAGGATCAGCATACTAGATGTGAATACCGAAAGCTCATTATGTGACATAGGAATCAAATAATATGTAGGCCCACTGATGTGGAGTGATGCGCAAGACTTACGAGTCACGCGGGGCTCGAACCACATCTCACTTTATCCGAGAGCGCGTGCTCCAACCCGTGCACTACTAACGCCCATTTTGCCACCGCTAAAGCGGTTAAATTAAATATAGTTGCATTTGATCTTTAATACTCAATATATGTCAGCGTGGACTGGGTTAAATGTCGATACCCACTACCGGGGCCGGCCCGTTGACGGTTGGCGGCTGACAGATAGATGCGCTGTAACGTAGAAAGAGTGGTGTGCCAAATGGGCGTCGATAGTGTAACAGGTTAGAGCACGCGCTCTCGAAAAGAGTGAGATGTGTGTTCGAGTCCCGCCTGACGCGGTCTTGTACATCACCCATATCACTAGGTATATCAGTGAAATTTTATCACCGCTAAAAGGAATAAATAAATTATAGTTTCAATATGTGGGTCGTCTAGTATTGATTACTAGCAATTATAGAGCACAGGAGAGTGTCAAAGCAGCACTTTTCTCGTATTAGACGGCATCAATACCTTTCCCATCCAACAAGAATTTGCTTAGGCTATTACTCAACCGTTGATGCAGTAGTATTATATTAACATTTTATCCTAAATCACGAGACGAACTCTTTACCGCAATAAAAAGGATCATGATTTGTGAACTATCAGCCAGATATGCTAGCCCATTCAACAGACCACATGATATGCGTGGCTTAAAAATGACTATATGATATAGTGAAATTTGAGCTGTGGTCTTAAAAAAAAACACTCAAAAAGAAGTTCCTCGCCACCTACTCTTAGTATAGGAAACTGAGCGTCCCGAATAAATTGTCTAAAGACGAAGGGTAACTGCTCGACTGACGACCGTCAAGGTTGATACACGTGTATAGAGTCTATAAGTCAGCCCATTCAACAGACCACATGACAAGCGTGGCTCGAAAACGACTGTCTGCCTCGCCAGCCAGATAATTTACAATGTCAGATAATTACGATTTACCTTCACATGATTCACTTCACCATATTCATATGTTCAAAGGTTATCTTGGTAGATAGAACTTCAAAAGGCTGGATGTGTAGGTGTCCATGATAATGACCGCCTAATAGAAAATCATGCGAAGCTTATTACAACTTTTAGGAAGGTTGCACCTTAGAAAAGATTAACTGTCTCTGAAGGTTAAAACGCAAGTACATCTGCTAGCGACTATATTGTTGACAATGCAGCAGTGTTTTCTGAAAGTGTTTCACTTTAACGTGCGTCTTCAGATGCAAGGACGTACTAAAACTCCTCAGCTCAAGAGGGCCTAATGGGAGGACGAAACTCACACTACATGGTTGTACCCTCTTTCACGTAGATAACTGTGTGAATAACCAAGATAACAAATGTTATGAGTAAATATAAATACGAAATTGTTGTCTATATATGTATGTTATACACCTTTTTGGTCGATGCAGATTGTACTAAGTTGATTGCATTCATAATACACCTTTCGCTACAATCACTAAAGGTGATGGATAAGGAATTGCTAGTAAACAAACTCCAGCGAACTGAATGTCGCCGCCAACAATGTCGGATATATTTTGATGTTCATCAATGTAGAAGAGAAGGCGGGTGCCCATATCACTATCGGAAAGTTGTAAGATGCAGCGACGATGCCGGATGTAAGAGCGGCTAGAAAACAACAAATCACTTCTTTTAATATTAACCACGTCTAAGAAAAATTCAAAATTAAAGCCTTGTTATTGAAACAAAAATCTCAAAAATTTGCACTAGTAGTGCTCATTGAATCACACAAGAGAAACTGTCGTTAGAAGCGGTAATACAGATGCTAGATATTACTCGTTGGAAGCTTTTTGCGATTAGTAGTTGGAACTTTCTATGGTGGCGGCTAAACGGGCTGGATAAAAAATAAGAAAACATAATAAAATATCTCAACTATTTCACATATCATAATATGGAACTACTATGTCCATTACTTTGACGTAAGAGGAAGGGTTCGACAAAGCGATACAGTCTTGCAACAATTATTCATTACCACCCTGCAAGACGTCATACGAACATTAGAATGAGACGACTTAAAATTGACGGTCGACAATTAAACCATCTTTGTTTGCTTCGCTGATGATATTGTCCCATATATCACCGAGCATCAGCCAGGCGATACTAAAGCTGACCGGTTCCAACAACATCTGTGTAAAGAGTGGTCTCCGACTAAGGCTCAAGAAAGGAATGCTTCAACTACGTATACCAAGGTCGTGATAAAACCTGGCTCCAGAGTTGAGCAGGCGTCAACGAGCGGCCTGGGGAGCATTCAAATGTGGCGAGGACGCAATGAAGAAAATGGAGAACATTCTACTTTGTGTTCACCTTTTCGACTTGACTGTTATCCTTGCTTCAACGTATGCAGCACAAACCTGATCGCTACGTAAGCAGGATGATAGATCACTTGGTGATATAGAACGCGCAGTCGAAAGCTCGATGCTATGAGTATCTGTATCTCGCAAATGAGAGGGACGATCCAAAGTTTCGACCTACGCAAAGATCGGAGATCAAAGATGCCGTTCCACAAGCCAGGATATCAAAAATAAGGTGGGCCTGACACGTGATGCGCTCCAACGACATCCGATGGACGGGAGGCGTTACCTACTGGATTCCTCGTGATGTCAAACGCTCCACAGGAAGACCACTAAACCGTTGGTCCGCTTTCTTCACAAAATGCTTAGAATCAGATAATATTCTGAACGAATCCCTAGAGCTAGGAGAACCCACTGGGCTAGTCTTGCGCACCATAGGGAAAATAGAAGTGTTATCGATGTCCACTGGAGTCACTCGACGTTCAACAAGACGACAGGTGATACAGGTGATGTCCATATATCAACACTGTCGATCTGAGCTTGTTTTCAGCTTAGGCGTCACGAAAATTGCGGGTTTACTCTTCGTAGCAACGATAAGAGCAACCAAAAAGTTTACCACAGTGTAAGATGCATCTTTGCAAATTCTATGAGACTTTATTTCTTTAATCCATGATATTAAGCTTACTTGAGGATTGAAAATACTTACATAAGATAGCTTATGAAATAATTGTGAGCCAATTGAATATCTTCAGTACTACTGTGCTAATTGCTATTTATGTAATTTACCTACATACTGAACATGCCGGTCCCAGTACGACATCGACACCCCACTCCACCCACTCGATGATGTTGCCGGCATCTTGTGCCTCGTTACAGTCAGTTAGCACCCATGTCAAGCTGAAAGTGTTCTATCATATCTTACTAGCATTATGGTAACTACAGAGCCATCATTTGAATCAATTTCTAGGTTAAAATATTGTACAGTTAAATCAAGTGGATTTGGTTGGCAGGTAAATGTTAACGCATTGTTTATAATCTCGAGATTAACCCTTGGGTGCGAGGATACGTCACCACTCCTCCTCCCCACGCGCGGCGAGCAGTCCATAGTAGTGTCGGTTGAGCACGTCCTTGTGGCCCCAAAGGGTTAAATTACATTGCCATGTGGCGATAAGAAATTTCTCACGCCACCTATTCTAAAGTGCCTGAGCTTGCACTTACGTCTCTCAATGTGTTACGTTTTCGCTCAATAAGCACTCGAATCAAATATTTAGAAATGTTGACTTCGCTAATATGAATGTAGTGTTGGAAAAGTAGGTTTTCTGCTACTAGTTTTGACGCTTATTAGAAACCAATTTTTCACACAAATCAACGAAGTCGGTAGTGTTCATTTCTCTCTGTTACTTCTGACAAGGCCGGTATAGTCGCCCAACATTGAGATTTTACTCAGAAGTATGTACACAATGTTCGCGTGAATGGAATTCAACGCTTTTGGCGAGATGTTATCGGATTTACCACTAACTTTATTTTTATGACAATATCGCTTTGAAGGGTAAAATCCAGATAATACTTCTTGTTAACAGGAGATAAAGCCCTTCTCGAAACAACGCAGTTCGAATAAGTCTCGTTCTCTGAAGCACTGTGCTTTTTTCAGTTAGTTGGAAACAAATGAAGAAAGGTCCATTTTTCTGAGTAAAAACCTTTCATAAAAGTGTCAATAATCTTCGAAATCTCAATCATGAGACTGATGTAGGTGCTCGTTTTCTGAAAAAAGCTTTCAAAAGCAATGGAGCAAAAGGTTATAGAGCCCGATACACGTGTTTCAACCTTGCAGTCTCGTCACTTGGGCAGTTACGCTTTCTCGTCTTTTGCTAATCTCTGTGGGTGCCTCTTCCCCACACTAAGAGTTAGCGACGGCGAACGTTTTGCACTCTATGTCCAGTGAATTATCACCGAACACAGAGTGTTGTACACTCGGTTACTCGTGGCTAGTATATTCAATACATCATATCTTTCGTTTCTAGTGTTTTCTTAAGGACCACATTTGGTCTTAAGAAGACACTCGAAAAGAAAAAGGAACATTTTTGCCTTCCACGTTTTTTTCGCAGGACAGACTTTTCTCCTAAATTCTACGTCTTGTTTTCTGCACGGTTTCACCACTAGAGTGGCAGTGAAAATAAGATTGAGCATTACCTACGCCGCTTATTTGTTTGGCGTCTAGCGTGTGTGCGTGGCCGTGGATCGATACGTGACTAACAAGTCGGGCTCGCGCTTTGGGCGACTTTTTTACATGAATGAAAATTTTCTTCCTTTTCACATTCCACACAAAACGTATGGCTCAAGATTTTCTCTACACGATCGCATGCTCTTCATGCTTCCAGCGAAAGATAACAAAAGCGCGCCGAGGGAGTGAGACATAATTTTAATTTCAATACTACAGCGCTATAAAAGGTCTTTTCCAAAAAAAAGAGTATTTACAGCAGTAACCCGAAGGCTTGAGCTTTCGATTGATAACTGACACTCTCGTAGAAGATTTTTGTTCAGCGAAAGGGATGATTCGTTTTATTGGTTTCCGTTTAACAGTAAAAACCGGAAATTTCATCGGCGTCATCCACCTCCGACACTTCGCTTTAATGTATGAGTTTCGCGCGATCCTCCGACAAATCTGTAGAGGATGACTCAAACGCGAAATTTGACAAAATAGATATGCACTTCAACTTTAATTGATGTCAGTATTCTATAGATCCACTTTTTGCTTCTTCAATAACAAGCTTTTGAAGTTTCCGTACAGAAGGTCATTTGAATGAAATCGTTGACGACAACTGACGGTAGTTCTTATTTTAGGTTTTCGAAAATCTCAGCAGACTTCATCGCTTCTACAATCAAACAAGGTTTGAATCGGCATCATAAGGTTCTTCACATAGTTGTAAATTTTGCAAGCAACTTTGCAGATGTTCAAAGGGGAAAGGCGACAATTTCAAGAAATTATTGTAAGCCACGGATCTCCTTCCTT